AATAAGCGACGATTTACATATTCAGAAGAGAGGAACGTCTTATTAACTTACCTTTCATTCCTTTATCAGCAAAGACTCACCTAAAAATAAAAAGTAAGCAAAGAAAACGCTGTGAAACTCTTGCTGAAACTCGTAGAGGCAATTATTGACGCATAGGCGTTGTCGCGTCTGCAGGGACACTATATTAAGCAGGAAATCTACTCGATTGTAAATTATAATCACATGCAATCGCAGATATTTGACGACTAAAGTCGAGACCGCTTCAAAACAGGCTGATTCTTCCCTAGAATTTCACAGTTGAGAATAGTTGGAGATACTTTAGGTTCAGTGCAGAGGCTAGGTCATTTTGGAGGACTTTTGTGTATGACTCTTATCTTGATTGTGATTTACCTTTCACTATTTCAAGTAAGGAAACGAAGCACATTATCAAAGCTGTTATTTGCCCAACTGTCAACTGCTCAAAGCATAGTGTGATTGTATTATAAAATCTTCAAACTTAATGAAGATTTTCTAAATTTTCGAGACGAAATTCAAACTTCTTCGGAATCGTACTTCTGTGAAATGGAGCAAAAGAACTTTATATAGGAGTGAATAAAAGTTATACTGTGTATACACTGTTGATTGAAGCAGCAGAAGATTTTCTTAAGCGTATTTATCTCTTACAAAGAGCTCTCATCCCGATTTTGACCTTCAAAAAAGTGAGTTGGAAAATCTTACAATTTCTTATCAAGCTTTGTGAAGCATTCACTTTGTGGTACGTATAGGTCACGAAGTGAGCTATAAATGCCCAAACCTTCGATTGATGAAGAGATAGAAAAAAAAACTTGGGCATTTTCTGCTGATGTTCAAAGATTTACTGCTTTGCATGCAAAAGTGAAATCATTTGTGACGTAGTTCAAACACATTGTGACGAAATGTTGACAAGCAATTGGTTTATCAAGGAATGTCAGGAGTGGTAGTAATTTGGTTGAAAACATGATCCTAACTAAGTTTTTAATTACGAGGACAGCTGCTTTACATCAAAATCACACGGTAACCAATTGAAATTGCGACGTGGAGGCAATTTTCCATTTGAGTGTAAATTTAGCAAAGCGATGTCATTGACAGAGATCGAAACTCCAATCATTCACATGCTTGACTGCCATCATTGCACTTTATCAAATTTGCAGTTCGGCCTACTCCCATGAGCTTATTCAAGCAGTAAGCGATTGAACTTTTTTATGGCAACTTTCACAATGATTTTCCTCACCCCTCCTGACGTGGGAAATCGCATCATGTTTCGAATGAAAAGTGGTCAGGGGTATTTCTTCAAATTAAACTATGATATGGTGGTTTCAGTCCGCTATTCAAGATATAATGCAACTTTCATCACTCTAGTTGATAACAAAACAGTGACTTTTATTTGTTAAGTGCTTCCCAGTTTCGCTCAAGCAATCATGGAACATCACGATAGCTTGTTGCTTACTTGCCTGTTTTATGATTTTTTTACGAAGATTGAGCTGAAGATCTGCAGAAGACGATCATGGCTACCATTATGTAATCCAACTGAACAACATTTTTATGGCTTCGATCAATCTACTACCACTCCAGGGTTTTTGTTTTCAGTCCTTTCTCATTACAAACATTGGCATATATTGTGACTGTGATCCTCATCTGAAATCAGGAGTTTCGGATTAGAAAGCCTGTCATTGTGCTCTTATCTCTGTGTACTTGTGGAGATGAACCAACCTACAACTGTCGAATTTCCCTCCACAAACCCCAAAAACTTCAGAATAAGGCTTAGAATAAGTTAAGAGTGGGTTTCTCGATTTGATCCTTTCACAACTACTCGTCCATATCCTGCTTATCTTTCCTCGTTACTATAGAACTGTATTCAAACTTCTATGCAGACATCACAACTCCTTCAACATGCGTGGGTTCAAAATTCGACAAGTAATGATGCTCACGAGTAGATGTCTAAAGTGCAACATGCTTTATTGGGCAGAGCAGTATTATTAGTTTCGAAAAATGATGTCCCATCGTGTTCTGATGCAATATCGCGGCAGAGTGAGATCGGAAAAAAGTGACTGGGGAAGTGTTTGATAGAGCTAGGCGAGCTCAGGATGAAGTTCGCCTATTTGCGTCAATATTGATTTGCGTAAATTGGTTTCGAACCAAATTCTAAAATGCGTTAAATCACTGAAAAGTCAAAAACATCTTATCTTCATACGAAAAATTCCTAAGACCCCCAACTTGCTCAAGCTACACTCTCTACATCAGAGACTCGCATGCGCAGTGTCTTAATTTTTCCATTTTTAGAATCAAAAACAAACGATGTGACATGTTTCTGCTAAAGAAATCCTGGGCTTTTCCAAAATCCTTGATTACATGATAACAACTCTCGGAAGTATGACCATAAATTTCCAGCTTTGAGCGTCATTTCCCGGGAAAAAACAATTTTTGTTCAAAAAACCCGCAATCGAGCAACATTTGCGTTTAAATCTTTTGCTTTACTTATTTTTACCACAGCAAGTGTCTGATGTTGAAAGTGTTAGGTTGTCCGGAAAGTAATTTCGCCTTGCATCCTACCGCTAGTGATCATGAAAAACAGTGAATGGGGTATCGTTTGATAGACCAAAGCAAGCTCTACAAGATGGCATCCAAACATTTGAGCAATCTTTAAGTTACGCGAAGTTTGAAATCAAAATATGAAGAATTTCAAATTCAAAAATCAAATCTTAGTTCTTACAAGGGAGGTCGAACCAGTCGAAGTGGCCTTTTCAAATGGGTCATATACTAATTTGAAGAGCGTTAAACGCTGATTCCAAATCTTTCTTCGTTATCTGCCGAGCGCCTCTGGACGCCGAGTTATAAATGTTTTTTGGAGCGAAAAATGAACGCAGAATTCAAGTAAAATTGACTGTTGCGGACTTTTCAGCGCCTAAATAGAGCAACATGTAGTGTGATTGTTTTGGGTAGAAGGTATCCTTTGAAATGGAGTGCTCTGATAACCAACATTGGACCATTTGAGCAATTCTGACGAATTTTGCTCTAATTACGCATTCAATTTTTCAACCCAAAGAACGCTCATAACTCGGCGTCCAGAGGCGCTCGGCAGATAACGAAGACAGATTCGTAATCAGCGTCCTAAGCTCTATAAGACAGTATACATTTCAAGATGAAATGCCACTTCGACCATGTATCCTTCCCTTGTTAGAACTCCTACGGACCTCGGATTTTCTCAGGCATGTTGTCTCTACATGCGACATTCATGTGCATTTTAAAGTTTTTCTATGGCTAGAATACAAGAAACCAAAATAGGTTACAAGCGCAAATGTGTCGCGTTTTTCGCGTTTTTTTGCGAGAAAATTGATTTTTCTCGGAAACTATCCTTTGTAAAAGCTGAAATTTCGTGGATATACTTCCAAAGTTTGTGCTAAACAATCACCGTTCAAAAAAAGCTCAGATTTGTTTCGGCGGAAGTTTGCTAAATTTTGGTTTCTAGAAATTATCAAGAAACGGCGCACACAAGTGTCTAATATAGGGAGTGTGTGCGTGAACAAGTTGGGAGTCCCTAGTATTTTTTTTTGAGAGGAGATACGAATTTTTTTTCAATTTTTTAGGACTTTGGTGCTTTTTGGAATTGGCTCCAAAATTCATGCAAATCAAAGTTGGCGCGAACTTTTAAGCTTCATTTCGTATAGCTTGCTTTGGTTTACTGCTCGGTACCCCACTTACTTTCTTTCGTGCTCATCCTGCCACGATATTGCATGGTGAAACACAATGCGATATTATTTTCTGGACAACTTAATACGTGCCTGAGAAAATCTGATATTTATAAATTTTCTACTTTGGCTCCAAACTTCATTTGGATGAAAGTTTGCGCAATTGTTTAGATGTCATCCTGTTAGCTTGCTTTGCCCTCAATAGATACCTCATCGTTTTTCGCGACTACTCTACCGCGGCTGGACAGACGAGTTTACCTGATTACTTGCAACCTTGCAGGAAGCAACATCGGAAACAAATTGGTGGGCCTTTATGTGTGAGATACAAGGAGCATCTGGGTGTTCTAACAAAGTCTCAGTCCAGCTCTCCATCAGGAAGCAACAATTGCAGAGTTATTCTAATCGAGATCAATGCTTTGACATAGCTGTCACAATCCTAACCGAAAGTAACTGCGCAAAAACGTTGGATTTTTAAATAAGCTTCAGGCTCCCAACGAACGGCAAAGAAGAGAACGTGCCTTAAATGAAATAATCACGATGATTAACTAGGTTGATTGGCTGGTATGAAATAATTTCATCTCACATCAGCTTTCTGCGATTTTGTCCCCCTCAACTCAAATCTACCATATAAAAGAACCACTGGCGTACCCAGGATTTCGGCTCGGGGGGGGGGGGGCGGCAAAAAAAATTTTCAAATGAAGGTGCGTGGCGTTAGCCACGCACTCCGAAAAAATTTTAGGGGGGCTTCTCAACAATTTTGCGGCCCCAAACCCATAAAATCTTGAAAAAGGGGGCGTGGCGTCAGCCACGCCCCCGAAAAATTTTTTTTTATAAGGCTAATTTGAATTTTTAAAAAATTTTAAAAATTATTTTAATTGTTTACAAAAATAAACAAGTCATTTGCACATTTTTATAACGCATGTAAGTAATTTTCAAAAATTTCGCGACCCGTTCTCGGGGGGGGGGGGGGCGCGCGCCCCCTCCCCCCCCCCTCGGTACGCCACTGAAAAGAACATATATTGATTTTAGCCATTAGTGACAGTACAGTGTTCAATTGGCGGCTCCACTCGATTCAAAAGCTGTCGATGTCATCACGACGATATATTTCCTATTTTCTAATTTATGCGACACTCATTCATTCGATGAAAAATTCCTAATTTCTCCAAGTTTACTGCATAGTAAAGATCGAACAATCTTGGTTCCAACTAAAGAAACCATAGGGAAACTATGCCAAGATTCATAAACATCGAGCTTGGAGTATTGATATGTTTTATTTGAAAAACGATGATTATCTTAGCGCCATGCATACATAATTGTCTCACTTGACAAATGCACTTTACTACGTAGTATCGTAGTCAATCAATAGGTGAATATGTGTCGATAAATCGTGTTCCATATCAGTGATATACAAGACAGAGGCGATGAGGTATCTAGCAATGACAGAGGCGATAAAATGAGAGTTCAATCATTGACGACCCGGCTCGAAAAAAAGAACACTTCGTGTACCCGAAGAAATTCCATTAATGCACATATCCCGAAAGTGCTGCTCCCTTTTATTTAAACCGCTTGAGCTTATGGAAGCACGCGATCCACAAGACAATGCCACCGATTGTGATGACGCCGTTGGCAATCCATAAGGTGGCCTGACCGGAATGGGTAAACAATGACCTAAAAGGTAATGTAGTCGTAATATCATTCGTATACAACTATCACTTACGCAGCATAAAGCGGACCAAGTATAAGTATGACATCTTCTGCTACGATAATGGCACCTTGCATTACATTCTGAATTTTAGACGTCATTGTAAAATTCAAACCTCCTTCAAACATGTCCTTCATTTACCTGATCAATGTCGCCTAGGACTTTCGAATAGATCGTGTCTAGTGAGATAAACGACGTAGGCACACCAATTCCCATAACAACACAAATTATTGGTAGTAGAACGATTGGCCAAGTTGCGTATGCTGTGTCACACCACGTGTATTCTCTTGTGTTGCAGCCTATTCCGCTAGTGGCTGAAAACGGGTGATATGACTCGGAGATCTAATGGTAATCTTAGAATAGAAATTCGGTAGAATGAGGTACATTGAAACTGTCAACAGAAAATAAAGAAGGCTTTGAAAACATATTTTTCTTCTTCGCTGTAACTTATGTTCTTTTTCAAACTTACTTTCAGCAAATCTTTCTTCAAACAGCATTAACATCGCGCGAACAATCTGTTTGAAGGGGAAAGGAGCGACGGTTTCTTTGAGCGGAGGAGGGAGGCGGGGGATGCGTGAGGGTGGAGTGACACCGCAGAAATTTTTACATCGTAACGTTGTTTCGTGATTTTCATCCAAACCCTTGGGGCCGCATGCATTAACATCCCCGCGGGGAGTGGATCGCAGCTCAGAAGAAAGCTTCATATCCTAAAGTTCAGATATCAGGATTTCAAGCTGTCTGCCTGTCCGCCAGTATTCCAACAATTCCTTCCCAAAAGCGTATTGGACAGGACCGAAAAGTTGCACAAGCCGCATTTTTCAGCCGTTTGATCCCCTGATGATCCTCGACGGCAGACCGTCTTTTCTTCAAAGCCAGTGAAAATGTGCCTTGATTATCTAAGCGAACAATGCTAAGCATGTTTTTGATAAGAACAAATAATTAATGAAGTCATGAAAATCAGATGAACCACAAGTCGAAAGTAGGGTTTATCGAAAATTTCGATGTTTCAACAACTCATTCGTTCTCATCAAAAACATGCTTAATACTGTTCGGTTGGATAATCCGTACAATTGGAATGTTTTCTTTTACTTTGAAGAAAGACAAATGACTTTAAAGAAAAGACGGGGGGAGTGGTCATACAATAAGCTGAAAAATGCGGCTTCTACAACTTCTCGTTCCTGTTCAATTTTTTAGTGAAGGATAGTACCCAAAGGCGAAGTTTCGCAATCCGCCTCCACTACTCTCTTTTTCGAACTATCAAACTCATAAAGTAAGTGCGTATGTATCATGTTTGACGTGGATGATATATGCGCGAGCAAGTCGGATATATTAGGTCGTTCCGAAAGTAATTTCGCATTTTTCAAACGGGCGCCACAATCGATGGAACAAACCTTTTTAAGAGATCTTGGTAGCGTTCGATGCAGAATTTCATTCTCTTTCTAATGGTTATGAAGCTCTTGCAAAACAGTCAATGAGCTCTCAGGAAATAACCAAAGTCTGCGACTCATGCTTTTTGAGGTGGTCATGTTTCACGATTTTCTATAACTTTCATATCAATCCTCCGAAGGAGTTCAAGTAACGATTCGATAGAGTAAACCTCATAGAATACAGTGCAACTTTTTTCTCTTTTCCATAGCTTGTCATACATTTTCAATAGAATTTTAACTGATGCTTCCGATTTCCATACTTGAACAGCTAAATCCTTGTAGAACATCAAAGGAAGAACAGCTCGGGTGCTGTTTGATGCAGCATTTTCTCCACTTTCTAATGGGTGTTTTTTGTTTTCGATTCGTTTAGTTTTCGGAGATAAAATCATCATAATTCATTTTTTTAATTAGCCCCAGGCTGTACCCGGAAAACTCGAAATTTGATAATTCGAATCCGTAAACTCTCATTTGCTTTATAAATTCAATATTAAGTAATATATCATCTTGAAAGCTTGAAATTCGAGTAATTACTGATGTTTGATGCGATTGTGGCTGAGGTGGGACTGCCAAAATCGGATGGCTTTGTTAAAAAATCTTTCGAGAGATTACGGCGAACTACGAAAAAGAGAAAAAGGAAGTACTGTATTCTATGAGGTTTGCTCTATCGAATCGTCACTTGAACTCCTCCTGAGGATTGATATGAAAGTTTTAAAAAATCGTGAAACTTGACCATCTCAAAAAGCATGGGTCGCAGATTTTGGTTAATTTCTGAAAGTTCATTGACTGTTTTGCAGCAATTTCATAACGTTTGGAAAGAGGATGAAATGCTGCATCCAACGCTACCAAGATCTCTTAAAAAGGTTTGTTCCATCGATTGTGGCGCCCGTTTGAAAAATGCGAAATTACTTTCGGAACGACCTAATAGATGATTTTTAGAACGGGAATAGATATTTTTGGATTTTCGAGCACTAAAAACTTTTAAAATTACTGCTTTAACTTCTATATTTAGCAAACTACGAATGTTCAAATAATGAGGAAGGCCATATGAATGTGAAAGTTAATATGGCCTCTCGAGGCGATTACTAAATTGAAAAAAAATTACGTGACAATTTTATACTTCAAAATTGGGTAATTTTCTTCACATGGGCTAACTTCCAAATATCTGCATTCGTCTTCCAATCAGAGGTCACATATAGAGGCTTAGACTTGTAGTAATTCCTTCTTGGAAGTGACGTACAAGATTGTACCTAAGCTCGAGGTCAGTTTCATTCCGCAGGTCAAAGACCAAGTCACCGTTTATCTCTCGGGCTCCCGCCAGAGTGCCGAAGCCAGCCAGTGCTACGCTGGCGCCGAGCTAGCGCGACCTGTGCCGGCCTGTTTGATCGAGACACGTGCATTTTGTTCGTGGCGAGGCTAACTGACCTAGTTTTCACTCAGGTCAATGCACCGACTATTGATCGAAATCTCTGTCAAAAGCTCCGGTAACCCTTGCCGGTACATGGCCAGCTAGCCCCGTCCCGAACGAAATGCACGTATCGACCGAAACAGCGCCAGCACAGCTCAGCGCAAGCTCTGCGCTGGCGTAGCTTCGGCAATCTGATGGAAGCCTCAACACTGTCAAATCGCATTAACGCAGATCGCGATCCTAGCTTGAGCTTGAGCTCGTGAAGACAAGACGTATTTCGCGAGCTAGATAATCTCCACTTTATGATGAAATCGCGCAGTGGTAAGAGGACAGAAATGTAGCGAAGACCAAAGCCAGGACTCGGCACAGATCGTCTGGAAGTAGGCTGGCCTTCGTTTTTGGAGCAAAAAGCAAAGGAGATGTCGTTTTCGACGAGTCGGGGCCGAGCACCGTAAATAAGCGCAATTTATTCAGACACAAGCTATTCGGACAAGTTATCGCACGATTAACATGCTCAATCGTATATGGCGAAAGTGCGCGCGATTTGAAAGCAAGGTTAAAATAAACAATTTGCTTGTTTACAGCGCACACAGAAACGTTACCAGACGGTTACCAGACGATCTGAGATCGTCTGGAGCATATATTTCTGTCACTTCACATAAGTTTCGGATTTTTCTATCATGGGCGGATTCTACGATCAAAAATCTATCCTTGAGCATGAAGACACTTTCATATCATTGCATTTCCCTTGTTTTTTTTTAGCTTATCTTCATAAATCGCTTTGTTATATATCGCACTCCAATGCGAAACTCTTGTGCTTGCGTAGTATTCGGCTCCAATTTGGATTTTCACTCGTATCTTATGTTTTTTCTTTCAGACCAGTAAATCTTTCTGTTTTCATCTTTTTAAGCAGGTAAGTCAAAGGGGACTTCGTAAAACTTGCGAAAGTCAGGGGAGACTTCGTTTTCGGAAACCCTAGAAACCGACTCGTGCCGGACCCTGACCAAAGCTCGACTAAGCCAAGCTTGCGACTTGGATAGACACAAACAACCCAACAAAGAACATTGAATAATGTTGCAGGAATAAGATGCGATTAACACAAGAAGCACGTGCTTGAATTGATTGGTTGATGAGCCTGCTATCACATGATTGTTTTGCATTTGAACATCGCAAATGGCAATCATAAAACGTTCGGACCCAGTGGCTATGCATGAGGGAACAGCCACAGATTGCCGTCAACTGTGTCCGACGTTGCCGAGGTGCGCGGGTGCCGAGCTTGCCGAGGTTGCCGGCGTTGCCGGTCGTTGCAGGACCTCATGATAGCCTCGATGTTTCGCGCGCTCTCTATGCTGTCTCTAACCGGCAACCTCGACAACTTCGGCAACCTATAGCCGTTCCCTTAGCGAACATCGCGTCAAAGGAACGATGCCGCGTGAGTGCGCAAGATGAAATAAGTACAAGCCTCGCGGTTGAAAGATAGCCGGTACATTGCTCAGTGGCTGAAATTGAGATTCACCTAGTTCGTGATTGGCTCCGAGCTGTCGCAATCGTAGCTTGCTCATGTCATGACGTATGTGGGGGAAAATTACTACAGGCCCAGGTGTTATCGGTGCCGAAGGACAAAGTAACACTGACTCTTGATTCGATTTTTGTCCTCCTTCATGCAGGCTCACTCTTTTGATAGCAACATTCATAAATGTTTTGAGGAAATAGCAAAAGTATTTGTGCCGTCTTTTTAGGTTAGCGACCATGGTCCGCGAATTTACTCATTGTTAGTGGCAAAAGATCTTGTTGTATTCAAGTAAGTTTCGTTCAAGAATTGCTTCTTTACTTGTGTGGCATGAAGGAAATAGTACTCACCATTATATTCGAACATCTTGTGACTCGTCATCGGATATGGGAACGATAGCGCGTACATGACAACGGGCAGAGAAATAGCAAGTAAGAAGGAAACTCTTGGCGAAATACTGAAAAACTGCAAAGTTATTTTTGTTTTTGTGCTTTTTCACTTACATATTTCCGAGTCGACAAACCGCGAATGCCAATGCGACAAGGATTGAGAGGACACCGACGCAAGCCATGCACAAAGCAAAAACTTTCACGGTCAGCTGGCCATCCCAGCCAAATGAGATCATCGCAAGCGGTGTGACAACTCTAAATCGTATCGCTTTTTCTGCTTCGCATCAAATGAAGTGAACTACTTACGTGGATAGCGTGACTATAGAGAGTTGAGCAATCATCTTCTCCAACCAGCACAGAAAGATCAATCCCCATGGTAGGTTCATGGACGTGACTGCTTTGATCTTTTCCTTCAGTACTTTGACAGAAATCTCACTTTCACCTTCTGAAGTACAATTAAATTTTCTCTACAGCTGATGCTGAGTGCTTCAGAGGCAGACTTACTTTTCTCCACTTTCTCGCCTACATGAATGTCCTTCAATCCGTAAATGATTATAGCTATCGAAACAAAATTCGTTAATGATGCTATCCAGATAGGTGCCGAATAAATATGGAATTTCAAAGCGTTTTCGATCAGAACGTATCCGGGATATGGCATATCCGAGAAGGCCAGCTGACATACTGAAATATCATGAGTGATAATAAACCGCGTACTTGTCGTTATGTAGAGGTTGTAGATTACGAAAATAGATTGAAGAATGATTTACTCGAATCAACGAAGAAGATAAATTATAAAATGCTACATTTTGCTTTTTGAGGGTTTTGTTTAGCAGAAGATTTAGCAATGAGTTTAGGCATATAGATGGCAAAAAATTTAGTGTTTGTAAGCGCTTTTCATGTTGTTATATCGGGCTAGATTAAAAATTCTGTCATTTGCATTTCCAAAAAATCGTACCACTTGTCGCGATATCCTTGCCAGGGCTCGACACGAGGTGGCTAATTGAAAATGCAAAAAACGAAGTCCCCCTTAACTTTTGCGGATTTTTACAAAGCCTCTTTTGACCCTAGCCCATAATCCCTTGAAAATCTCCAAAAGACGAAACGTCGACCAATAAAAACGTCGCAAATTTTCTGTCTTTTCGGAAACAAAAACGAAACCTTTTTTGCTTTTTGCTTATAAGCTACCTGTGCGAGCCCCGATTCTTGTATGGCATTAATATTACTAAAATGAGCAAATCATGTACATTTTAATCATCTTAATTCTTTGCTAACCTCCGCAGATTACAGAAAAAGGTAAAAAAAATTCTTGTTTGCTTATTTCAGCTGACCCCTAAGAAATCCAGAAACTAATGTAGTGGAACAAAATCCAAACGTTCAGTATCATAAGTCTTCCGACCTTCCCTTTTTGGCAGAGCAAAGTATGGGCTGATCGAACTTCTTTATGTTAAGTTATGAGTTTCGGGAAAAAATGCCAAGGAACAGTTTTTTCTGCTGTCCCCCAAAAATCATAACTTTCCAAAGAACAGCTTGAACAGCATGAACTTTACTTTAAAAAAAGGCCAGAAAACTTACGACGCCCACTGTTTTGGTTTTTATCGCGCAGTTTTCGAAGTTTAACGGCCCCAATTCGCCGAACTTCAGTCAATTTCCTTTTCCCAATTTTATGTCTGCGACCATAGCTTAGCAGGAAGCGAACAAGCAGTCATTAGAGAGTGAATGGTTTGATCTTTCTAATAATGCCGATGGCTTGAAAAACTATCCTGAACGTAGAAAGTTACAATTTTCGAGAAATGGTGTTAGAAAACTTTCGGTTCAACCTATATCGCCCAAAAAAAAATTCCTCATTTTGTTTGTCTTCGCTCTTTCTACCGCATATGTTCTAGATCTGTCACCTCTTTTCAAGACCTTTGTCTAGGAAAACCCTCAAAAATCTCATAAAAAATTCCTCATTTGATTTCTCGCTTCTGATTCGAAATCTATTCCATTAGCAAAACTACGATAGGAACTAACAGCACTCAAAAATATTTTTGGAAAGGCAACATATTTTTTGGAATTGTAGACCGAAAGATTTCGATATTTCGCGATTTTAAAGCTTAAATTTGAGGACTTTCTTTCTAATCTCATCCACAAATTGGGCTTTTTCCTGAATGGAGTCTTATTTTTCACCGCTGTTATGAATGTCGGTAGACATAGATATTGTACATCCAAGAAAAACCCGATTATTCAATGATCGTTCATTTTTATAATTGTTTACCTGGTCCGACAACAACAGACAGCATGCTGGCTACAACAAATGCTGAATAGGCTCGTGCTCGATCGTCTGTCGAACTGACGGCGGCTATGTAAGCTCGCAAAACTGTAGAAGAACCTAAAAGGCTTAATTTGAAAGAAAAATTGACATACTCTTTCTTAAACTTGTCGTCGAATGAGGGAAAAAGCCTATGAACAGCGATTTAAAAAAAACGATAAAAAAGAACCTACTAATAAAAAAAACTTACTAATGGCTACACCGAAGAGGAAGTAGCATACTAGCATGAGATATCGTCTTCCCGTGGGCAACAATTCCACGCATAAATATAAGCAACATCCAATAAAAGCTATGACTCTTCCCGCTACCAATGGCATCCTGCAAATATAGGGTTTGAGATACACCGAATTGTTCCTTCGATCAGGTTGATCCAAAAGTTGCATCAAAATTTTTGAAATCTCGTAATTTTAACTTATTCATGATACGTTTTACAGATTTAAAGCTGACAGCATTTACCTCAAGTCTATAAGCAAAATTTCAGTCAGATTCCAAAAAGATGTCGAATGTTTGATTGTTAACAGCTTTCTTGCCGTGAGGTCTATGGAAAAGCTCAGGTACCATTTTGTTGTGCTGTCTTCAATTTAGACTCTTCATTCTGTAGGATCACGGTAGCAGCATCGAGAAGGGTTTTGAGCCTGGAGGGCCATATTTTGCCTCAGAAAGGAAACAGAACGATCTGAGAACTTTTACACTAGGCTAATAAGAGTTGCTGATTCTGAATATGAAGTCTGCATTGCATTATAATGCTTCGTTAAACTGTTTTGCCAGGTAAGCAGTAGCAGCCTTTTTTCGATGTTTTTGAAACATGTACTTCTTGCACTGTTCAAATCGCTTCAGGAACTTGCACAAAGTTGAGTAATTAACCTCAAATGAAAACTATGTTATACAAGTTTTCAAGTCTTTCTCAATCAACTGAAGCAGTAAACTTTCACATGACGCCATGCCGAAAGTTCCTACCGTAATCCTACAGTAATGAAGAAGGATCGGCGACTCTTTTTGAAGTGAAAATCGACCTTGAAGATAGCTATATAAAGGATACCTGAAGCTTCTCCAAGGGCTTCATGGCAAAAGAGTTATTAACGATCAAACTTTGAATTTTTTTGACATCCTATGGATGTTACCACTTATCGCACGAGAAGCGTTTTACCTAATCAAATCCATTGCGAATAATCATGATTCACAATTTCTCCAGTTTTTTGCGTTTTGTCGCGAATGAATGCCTATGATGGGTATAGGAAAGGCAGTATAGGTTGCAGTAATCACACGGTGTATATATATAGATAGGAAGCTTCTCGACTTTGGCGGCGTACTCTCACAGATCAAAACTGCAACCTTCTTTCAGGCCTCCGAAGAAGACGAAATGTGTCGAAACGTAAGGCAATTAAAGATCCCACCGTAGAAATCTGGGCCCGGCAAAACACTCTACACATTCAACTTCTTCGAATTCAAATCTTTCTATCTTTTTGATGCAGCAACATAAAATCTGATACGAGTATTTCCTAGAGCATGGTTGTCTATTTAACCACAACGCAATACTTACTTCGTACTTTTCGCCTTGTAGCTCCAAAATGCAAACACTATAGCAAAAATTGCGTGTCCACATTTAGACACTGAGGACACTAGTCCGAAGAATTGCGAGGTAGCATCTGGATCAATCTAAATGGTCACTGTAGCTTCGACAATTCAGCGAAGCTATACTACTTACTGTGTGCATGTATGGCCATTCTGACATTCCCAGTACCGTATTCTCAACCGCTGCTAAGAATGTTACCAGTCCTGCCATAGCGACAGCTTTCCAGTCCGTGCGCCGCGTTTCTAAAGAAGATCATTTAATTTAGATAGCTCGAAAACAAATCAGAATTTATATTTGGGCCTTTTACACAAAAAATCAAACCTATTTTATTTTCTGAATAAATATACCTTTCTTTTCCTACATGATGAATCATAAGAGTAAAATGCTCAGAATTCGGACAAACAAATTTGTGGGATCTACTACGAAGTATCAGAAAAATAATTGGTAAATTCCGAATTCTACTGAACACAATTTGTGAAATGAGATTGTTAAGAAGCTAACCTAGCACTTCCGAAACCGAAGAGTCTGTCACGGAGCCCAACATATGCTCTCCTTGCAGCATGTCACCTTTGGCCAGCTCCATATTGGCCTTAACTGTTAATTTTCGACGAAAGTGGCAAAGCGAAATAAGACGAGACCGGAATATTTAGGAAGCAGTTACCGTTGCAAGGACAAATAAGGACAAAGTGGTACAGTACCTTAGATGAAGTTTTTCCAATTATGACTTTTAATTGAAAGGGGACACTGATTTCTAGTAAGGCATGACTTTAGAGTAGCCGTAAGTTTTGTATCAACACAGCAAAAGTTTTCATCTGAGCTAATCGTGATTACAAGCTTATTTTTTGGAAGAACTCGATCAATTGACATCGCAATTGGCTTATTCGCTCAAATATCTCCTTTCGCATCAAATGTTGGTTTTTCATTCCATTTTCTAGGTCCATAAAGGTAGGGTGTGTAAAAGATTATAAGAAAGAGAGGGAAGCTAACATTTTGCACCAATCATTTTTGGTGACTCACAAAAACTCGAGGTATGCAAATTTAGCGATTCTCAACAGTCGGTTACATGCGCAATGAAATCGTTGAATATTCATTGCGTACCTTGAGGATGAATCATTTGTCTTCAAAGACTGAAGATGGATTTGCAATGTGAATTTTTGCCTTTTACCCAGCTGAATTTCCATTTAGTTTCCCAGGAGCCTTTGATATAACCAAAGATCATTTTCTGTTTACAAAACCGAAAAATTTTGAATTTAGGCAGCTCAAGGGAACTTCCTTGCTAGACAAGCAAGATCTGCAGCGGTTCCACAGAATTTTGTTTACGAAGCAGAAGCGCGACCGTCACAGTTAACTTCCATATAAAATTAGCACCGGGCTGGCTGAGACGGGAACTTCCGCAGTACTTTCCACAAAACGTTGTAGGGGGGGGGGTTTCGCCGAATTTCAGCCAATCTTACAGTCAGAAGCTGTGAATCTACAAATAAGGTGATTATCTGAAAAGCGAATGAAATTTGTTTCAAAAAATTACGATGCTTCCACAACTAGGAGAGTTTTTTCTTGAGATTCATAAAGAGCGTGAAGTACTCAATTTTCATTTGCAGATTTGATTAAAAAAACCAGCACTACCGTTTTTTTCGATATTTGAGTGGGAATAGAGCCTTCTTTCTGAGTAAAATCATCATATGAACCCTGTTTGAAGCAAGTATTTAGGAGAGAATTGGAATAAATAAACAAATGTTATGGAATTCGTAAAAAAGCACAAAATTTCTTCTCAATGACTTGTGACTAACAAATGCAAACTGTCAGTAAGCCGAGCTATCCTATTTCGTCACAAACTATAATGACCTACGAATGTGAGCGCATCATTTACGGTTCGCTGATTGAGAGGCAAATATTTGCATATCTAAAGAATCGGAAGCGACGAATTTCCTCATCGCTGACAATCGCTTTTCGTAAAAGAAATGACTGCAGCGATCGTACAAAAGTATAATTTAGAAGTTTGTAGAGTTCCGAATCTCAGTAAATCAATTATGATCCTCTAAGTAATGTCAAATCCCCGAATTAAGAACAATAAAATTTTGAATAATGGATGAATAAATGAAAATGTACTTCAGCCAATAGCGCAGATCAATCTCCAGGCCAGGGAAACCCTTCATCGGGAATGGTAAATTGGTTACGAGCAGTTTGGATCCTTTATTTTTTTTAGTGAAGCAACATTTGAAGTAAAATCATCTAGTATAGATAATTTCGGTCGCTTTTGTGCTCCTACAGACCTGATATTTCTGGAAGCACTTCAGTGAAAATTGGGATGTAAGTTTAATTTGAGTAAAATTCAGACTTAGACTAAAGGCGCAAAAAAATGAGTTATTCCAATGTTCTCATTGTGCGCAAATGTGAAAAATTTCATTTTTTTGTCAAGTGTTCCAAAATAGCAGATAGCAATTTTTATCGTTGTTTATAAAATCAAGAAAGACTGTGTCCATCCCATTAGCAAATTACTTATTTCTACATCCAACACAGCATGAAACAAAACAGAAATTCAAAGAACTAGCTTTTAGAAAATTAGCCATATTGGGGCATAGCTGTTCGTTTTAAAATTCTTAGTAGATGATAGAAGAAGCTAGAAGCTGGCGATAGAAGAAGATTTGAACTATGTACGCTCAAAAAATCATGGATAAAAAACACAATAAATGTTTTTTGTGGAGAGTTGCAAGCCAAAATAAATTATTTTTGGCCGGCCTAATAACAGTTTCAAACAGTTAAGAGCAAGAAATATTTCACCTGGTGCAGGTACAGGTTTGTGCAACAGTTTGAATGGCTATTTGACTAAAGCATGGTAACAAAAGCAGGTTTTTCAGTGTCAAAAAGGTTCCTTTGACAGGAACAATGTGAATGGATAAAAACCAGAAATTGCTTAAACTTTCTACAAGAGTAGAGCTGAGATTGTTTGTTTTCTTGCATAGAATGTGGAAAAACAGTGATGGTGTTTGCAATTTGCTTAGTAATGAATACTGACTATGAAGTTTCTGTTTGTTTATTGTTTTTATGCGGTGACTAAACACTCGAAGCATCAGGAAAGATCGAAAGTTTCAATGATCAGTATCAAATATTGTCTGGGCGAAGCAAATCGTTAAGACCTCAGAGTAAATGAGAATGAAGCAAGTTCATCAGCGTGTGCCACGAAAGATTACCTTTGGCACTTAACCTAGGTTATCCGGAGAAGGAATGATAAAGAGATGCGAAATTGTGTACTCATCATGGTTCCAACTGAGAGAAAATAGTGTAAAAATGTTCGAACCAAATAAAACTCTCAGCAAAGCACATGGCCACAAAAACAATTTGTAGCTAGCAATAACCAGGAAGCAGGTGCCCAAAAATGTAGCGAAGGAAAAAAATTAACGTTTGGATTAGGGTATATGAGTTTGTAGTACATGACTGAAAGCGAGCTTTTAGAGACTTGGACATATTAACGAACATTTTGAGGTAGTAGATAATAACAATCCGAGCGAGTTTTTAGGGAGGAGCGTTGAAATTTATTGAGCGAAGGGGCGTGGCGTTAGACATGAGAACAATCGAGGGTGCTTCCCAAATTTTGGCTGCCTTAGAACTTATAATTTCGAGAAAATCCGAGCCGCAGCTACGCTCCAAATAAATTTTTTCACAAGCTGATGTGAATTTACATCTTATATGAATCAAGCTAATTACTTGGAAATAAAAACGTTTCTAACCATTTTTATAGCTTGTGGAAAAATGTCGAAAATTTCGCAAGGCCTCCTCCTCTCTCTTTCCGAGCCTTCGCCACTGATAGTTGAGTAGAGATATCTTATTAGATAGATTACTGAATAAGAAATATACAGGGAGTGTAATGATCAAACTGGCTGAATATTATATATGTAACTAGAAACGAATGAAAATCGATACATCTAGATGATTGGTCGATGTGAGGCTGTCGATTGGCTGTATCGTCTTGGAGATTTTACGACATGAAAGATGCGCGGGTTTTCTAGCTCGGAGTTTTCTTTATTTCTGGATTTTTTAAATCTATGACACAGACACTTTCAAAAGCTTCGCTGATGGTCCGTTGACCATTGACGCTTTTGCAGATTTGCATTAGATATGATGGATTTGAATCTCTTCGCATTACATATATTGCTCAACTGATCAGCACCAATAATGATAGTGATAATAAATATAACGGTAACTAGATAATGATAATGAAAATAATAATGTCAGCGGTGGTAATAATGACACATTATGAACTTGTTTGAGTTATGTACTTATCCCAAAGTTATGTATTTGTGCAGTGCAAAAATATTACGACACAAGAATTAAGATTATCCTCTGATGTGACCGTTCATTGAAATGAAAGAATACAAGAACCACCACCTTTAACTGTACGATTTAAATATATAACCTTTGATTCAAATGGATTGGCAGCTGGCAGGCGGGGCTTTGTGACCTAGTCGAGGCCGCTAGCGTTCGCGACGCAATCTGCGTCTCTCCCGCGCGCGTGCTCTCTGATCATTCTCTAGCCTTAAGTAGGTCAGAAAGCCCCGCCTTCCACCCGCCAATCCAGTTGAATCAAAGGGTTCTAATCATGAGGCATAGCTTTTATTGTGTCAAATTAAACTTCTTTGGAGGTTTCTGAGTCGCCTTTTCAAAACCTTCTTCAATACTTCTTTAAACAACTTTAGAGACCAAATTTTTTCGGTTCGTTTTGCCAATTTGGCTACTTTCTTGCTGAAAATTGTGTTGTACCTTGGATCATTTGAAATCACTAGATCGAATATCGATCTTCCAAATTTGCGTGTCGTATAAAGGCATTCTGAATCTTGAGGAATACTACAAGGTCCAAAACAATAATTTTTGTATGCAAAAACAGCAATCATTCATTTTGTTTCCTATTTATCACTTCAATGGCATTTTACTCCGATTCATCACCTGAGATGTTACATCGCTCCAAACAAAGTCCTGATTTCGGTTCTGAGAGAAAAAATTTTGAACGTTTGCGCTTACTTGCCTTCAAACTACGATGATCGACAAAATTCAAAAGAAGTCCTGACTTTTACCTAGAATGCCAAGCAAACGAGGAGCTGACTAGCTACCCAAATTTTGAGCAAAGAAAACTCTCACAGTCAGCATGTCTGCATTCGAAAGTAGTCACAAAGTGTAATGATCAAACTCGGTCTCGAACATTTATGCAAAGTTGAGTGACGATAAATGTGACGCTACGCAAAGAGCTGTCGCTGCTGTACTGAACATAGCATAGAGGGCGATGTTGGGAATTTTCCATTAAATTCTGCAGCGCAATCGCACCATCGATTTGAATAAATAGAGGAATGCTGCAACATTGCCGAAAAACTTTCAGCACTTGTACTCACTGCATGATCTATTTATTTAGAGAGGAATAGGCTTCTTGTTTACGATAGTTTCGAAGAAACCACAAATGAACTTGAGGAGCACTGAAGAAGTATTTATTTGAATAGAATCAATTTTGGAATAGTAATTTATACCAATCTTTTTTGTTCGATCTCAATGTTTAACACTTCTTGTGATCAAACTATAGCCAAAAAGATTGGATCCGATGAACAGG